ATTTGAAAATCTTGACGGTATATGACATAAATAAGTTTCAAACAGCCATTTTTGTCCATAAGGTGATACATAACAACTCACAATTACCAGTACAATACAAGAACTTATTCAAACTTAATTCAGATATACGTTTCATTTATGCCCTTTTCTCTCTTTATACCCACAGGTAAACTTCGCCATGTCCACCGTACCCTGAGATGCAGACTACAGCAGGAGTTCACTGGCTAGCATAAAACCTTAGCATGAAACCTAGTCGTGGAAGGATTGGGGTGTGCATTCATGTTTTGCAGCCAAAATTGAAAAACAAGCATGGAATGCAACAGCATCATGGAAGCGAAGAAAATAATAAATAAAAAAGCAAGACTGACACAAACATACATGATAGAAAACACACAAGTGAATAAAATTCCTTACACAAAACATCACTGTTACACTACATGTGTCACACAGTAAAGTTATAAAAAAAACGACCAGCATCATATAGTTGCAGCTAAAAACACATTTGAAATATTATAAGCTTGAATATGCTGCTCCTGAGTAAGAAATTTGTTCTCTCTTGATAGAAGAAAACATATTTGAAATATCAATTAAGACAATCATTAATATTCTGTGTGCAAAAAGCCACAGTTTGCCCGAAAAGGTGCTATTGCATGCATGGTAACATAAGCCTTTCCTGCTTGTTCTGATGACCACAAGGCCGGAGGCTACCTCAAAACCAATTCCCTAGGGAATGCATTCATGCAATTTTTGAAATTCTTTCAAAGCGATCGCAGTACTTACACAAATGCCTCCGCCCCTGAGGCGTCGCCAAAAAAACTTCCATATATTTTTAAAGCTTCATTGTAAGACTAGTAGTATAACATAATGTGGTGCATGAGGTTGCTTTCAATTTTCCCCACTCGGTCTCGCTATATACATGTAGATTGATCCTCAGAGAGCCAGCATACATGAATCTGTCAAGAAATTCACCTTTGAAGCTCAAAATGTTCAGATCTGGGCTGCTAACGGCCTGAAAATGGATAGAAATACCAATGGACAGCTACTTTAAATCCGTTACATGTATTGTTCATGTTCATGTTGCTGATACAACATTTTTACACCATTGAGTCTTGTTCCCTCAGGCCAAACAAAGAGGCAGTCTCATTCACACTGAAGAAGAACTGGAGTCATGTATGAGACATGAGGTAGGAAACTTAAGTCAAACTTCAAGGTCACGTACACAAAACTTCAAATGGGTGGGATAAACTGGGGAAACTTAGATGATATCTTTGCAGCAGGAACAGATGGTGTCCTGATTATTCTTCTAAAAGCAGATAAACTTTTAGCATTTTAAGATAAATAACCAGTATGCAGTTGCAAACATAATGCCTAAAGCAATTAGTAACATGCTGTTAGTAAATGCTTTATGACAGAATGCTCCTTACTTCATGCAGATTGTGCTATGTGTACATGTGTGCCTCCACGTAGTCTCAGTTTAAGTCTTGTTCATATGCACTTCTTCTTCCCATTTCCAGGCACCAGGCAGCCCAAATTTGTCAATATTAGGCTTCAAAGGTGGATTCCATGGCAGAACCATAGGTATTCTCTATGTACTGTAAACTTCACAGACTATATGGGAGGACACAAATATCCTGGGATCCAATGTATCCATATGTCAAAGATAATTGGAATAGAAAAAAGAAACAAATTTAGTTTGCTTAACCACATGCAGGTCTTATAATGCAATTCCTTAG